GAGGCATAGCATGTCTAGAACTGTGTTGGGGGGGGGGGGGGGGGGGGGGGGGTTTGTTGCAAGTGGGAAGAGGCCATTTAAGTGACGTGTTAGGTGCCGGAATGTCAGGGCAGCCCGGGTCACTGTGATGGATGGGTGGGCGGGACACAGATGCAGCGCCTTATTACCGTGAGCATTTCCCCCGCCCCCCTCCCCGATACCACGTAGCCCCATTCTCCCTGCCCCCCTTCCCTGTGGTAAGCGCCATGAACCGGCTGTCAGCATGTCCCCCCGCGGCCTCTCCCCCGGGCCCCCAGACCGCCTGCCTCTGACACCCGTCTGTAGCAAAGGCAGCCCTGACGGGGGCTGGGGGGGGGGCTCCCATTGCCGGAGATGCGGGCGGCCATATGCCCACACCAACTGCTGCCAGCTCACGTCCCATCCCAGCTGCCCGCCTGCGTACGCCTGACACGGCTCTTCTGCGGGGCCCCGACGTGGACGGGACGGGCCCCGGGTCCCCCGTGTCAGGCAGCGGCTCCGGCTCACCTGGAGCGGAGGCGGGCAGCATCCTCCGTAGAGTGGCGCTCATTCATTTATCATTATTACACTTATTTATGTATTACGCAGGAGGCCCCAGGGCCCCTCGGGCGTCAAGCCAGAAGCCAGATTGGGGAACATTTGGAGATGTCACGAATTCTCCGGCAGACGCTTGTCCGTCAGACTCGTGAATATCGCCTGCACGCTCGCTCCCCCTCCATACGGCTAGCTACCTGTTCTCTGTTTTTCTTCTTCTCCTTTCTTGCTCTTAATGCTGCCAAGAACATGTTAGAGGAGTGTCTTCTCAGATGCAAACTTGCTAATTAGGGCCTGTTGTTGATTTAGCCAGACAGCCCTTTAAAAGTTATCTGATAGCTGGATTCATTACCATGTTTGGGGGGGGGGGGTATATTTAGAACCCTTGCTGCATGGTTCACGTACTGAATTAGCAGCGAATTATATTAATCGTGTCATTCGGGCACCTCATTGGACAGCTTGTAAAAGCCAGTAGTAGGTTTGTTTGTACGGAGGGATATTAGAGACATTGAATTGAAGTGAATGACCGCATAGTGAGTATGAATCTGTGAGATGCGTGATCATCAAATGCAGATTCAGCTTTTTAGGGTTTACACGGTGTCAGGTTCGCACTGATGGGCAAGGGCGGAGTCGTACCCTGCTAATCTAACAGTCTTCCTGTTGACCTGGAAGCTGTTTTCCCAACCATAACCTACCTGGGAAACCTAGAGCCAAACCGATAAAAGAACATAGTGTGCCGTCAGAGACGTCGGAAACCAGGTACCAATAGCCAACGTCTGATATTCCACAGAACAAAGGACTCTAATAAAAAAGATTCTAATTATGCTGATGATCTGGCCAGTATAGGCATCCGTGTTCCCGTGGTAACCTTCCTGTCATCGGCACGCACACGTCTGTGTCCTGTGATAAAGCGGCTCACTGATGCCGTTTGTGCGCCAGCGTGTTTGTGTTCGATTTGCGGGGGATTCCATCCCGAAGCAGCGGCCCACGCCTGCCCGGTGTGTGTCGGGCCCCGGGTCCTTCACCCCGTCACAGACTGGCACCAGCCAGATTCGGAGCTCTTACGTTTTCAGGCTGTTTTTGGGCTGTTGAGGCTTTAACAACTCCTGAGATTCCCTCTAGTGGGACGGAGTCGTCTTTCTTGTAATCTTTCTTTCTTTGAAATCAAGACCCCAGGATGGCTGGCGGAAGATTCCTCCCGCACGTACGCAGAAGACCGGGGTGCCCGACTCCCCTCCCGCGGCAGCCAGTGCGGGGTTTTACGTCGACGCTCCGTGATCTCGGCACGCCGCCGTCCCCTCTGTCCCACCCCGGCTCGCCCCGTTTCCGCGGCGCGCTTTTAATCAGGCGCCTGGAAAGACGCCCGCCGTGCCGGCCGGAGTAGACGCACGGCGCCCGCGTCTACTTCAGCTATTAAACGTGGGTAATTACGAGGCGGCCTACGCTGTGTTCAATAAGCCATACCGAAGCCTGACAGCGCATGTTGTCTCTTAATTAGAAATTTGAATCCTTAATGCATGTGTATTAAGTAAAATAATTGGACAGCCCCCCCCACCCCCACCTTCTCTTCCAGTGACAAGTGTGTTAGTACTGAATGACCCAACATGTCTGTAATATGCAGATGAAATGAGCTGTTTTTAAAGCAGAGGAATTAGCATGCGCTAGCTAAGCAGCACATCTGTAAGTAGGACAGGGGGGCTTTCTAATCCGGCAGTCTTCATTATAATAACTTAATTGGTATAGATATCATTCAGATTACATTACTGTCTTCTTATCGCCTCTTTGCTTTTGTGGTAATGAGTAGAGCAGGACTCGTAAATGAACGACTTCCGTTTACATTATTCGGAATACGCCTTAATATTTCTCATTACAATACCCCTCCCTTCTTTCAATAGAGGGAAATGCTTTGCTTTAATTAGATTCCACCCCTCCCCCCCTTAATAAGTACCAGGACATTCAGTGCTGATAATGCCTGTAATGTATTTGTTCTAAAACTGGAATAAAGAAAGGAAATTATTTCACTTTCAAGTGCTTCTTAATTGAAGGAGGCTTAATTTAACTCCAAGCTTGTTCATTTCACCCCCAGTTCCTAACGAGTAATATGATTTTGCCTGTTATCCGTCTGTGTAAATTAGATGGAACTCTGATGTAATTTAATTTTGCACATTTTCGCCTCGCAGCTCTTTGCTGTAGGTCTTCTTGAAGTATGGCTTTGTTTGCGTGTTTTATCAAACGGCCTCCCCACGCGCCGTCTTTTTAAACCAGGGGCCCCCGGCTTGTTTTTGGCTGGTATCTGAGCGCTGTGTCATTTCCGTCCGCCTTTGTATTTCTTTTTCTTTCTCTTTCTCTCTTGGCCCGACCTTTTTGTGGACGACCAGGTGCCCGCTGCCCAGTCTCAGGCCGAACTGTGGCTTTTTACTCGGGTGCACCCCCTGCTGGCCTCGTACTGCCGATCACCTCCCTTTCCTGGGTGTTACGCCGCTCTGCATGGCGCTGTGACCTCTACTGGGCCGGTTCGAGTGGCCCATGGCGTCGTTTGAGGGTTGGGGAAACGCGGAGCCAGACGGTAAACTGCGAGACAGAGGCTGAGTTGGGGAGACAGGCTGGGGGGGGAATCAATGTTGGCTATCGATGCCACCAAGGTCACCCCCGTCGTCTCTGGTTCTATTGACCAGGACGGGGAGAGCTGTGAACTCTGGGCTGTGGCCGCATTCGGTCTGTCGGGGGCGGGGGGGCGGCTGTTCCTCCATCTTAATTTCTCTCCTGAACCCACTGGGCCCTGGCTTTTCTCCGAAAGGCACTATAAACCGTGAATGGTCTCTCCGCACCGTTTCTGATTTCCATGAGACGGTTTTCCGAGACTCTAGTATCCGTCCAGCCCACTCGGGGTAAATGGCGTCACGGTCAAAGCGGCCGTAGCCCTGATGCCTGGCGCTCTGCTAACGCACCGTCCGCGGGCCCCCGGTTCACGGCGCAGTTGGAGAAACGGCGCGGCAAGTCAGCCACGCTCCCCAGCGGAGGAGGGAGGCGGCAGCTGGGTAAATTGGAGCCTGATTTCTCATGCAGAGGATCGTCTCCCGGTCCCGCCGCCTCCCTCAGCCACAAAGGCCTGTCAGCGCCGGAGTTTAAAGGCGAGGCGGCGAGAGAGACGCCTTTCTACTGGATATTATCGCTTTCAGCCGTTTTCACAGGCGCCGGGTGACATCCTCCCGCTGTCACAGGTGTTTATATCAGAACATGGCTGCAGGAAATGCGAGGGCCGCCATTGTTTCCCCCCCCCCCCCACTGCTCCCTCCGTGATGAAATGCGCATCCCAGAGCTTGACTGGAATCTCCGGGAGCCCGAAGACTTCTACAGAATCCTTTGCTCAACTTTTTTGTCCACTGGGATTTAAGGTGGTTGTGTATAAACTTTTTTTTTATTATTATTATCATCCTTCGCTTAGAAGCTGAGGAAGTCTATATGTAAAGACCCTTCAAACGGTAAGGCCTGACTGGTGAATATTTAATGAAGCGTATAAATGTTAATTGTTTTGGCCATTACCTCTCGTCCATATTAATTCTATATATCCAGCAGGCAGACACACATACAGCAGATTGTCCTGTAATGTGCTGTCTAAACAATTTTAAAGGTGATAATGGAAAATGAATATTAATGGGGGAAAAGCCAGTATATACTGGGTTTATTTGAATTCCTGGTTGAAAGTTTATCTCTGGGCTATGCGGTGCTTTTAGAGGAAACATCTGTGCTCTCTCTAGAAGATTCTGGAGCATCCATAGATGATTCCCCTGTGATTTCGTTCGTGCTGTTCGCTGACAGGCTTCATTAAATCTGTGCCAGTGACCGTTTCTGGATTGGAACCATGTCACACGGGGTATTGATGTCAACCAGCAGGGCTGATATTTTAAGGCAGGGCTGTTCAAACCGCGGTCCTCCAGGTCCGAGCCCTGCTGATGTCCCAGCCTTCCTTTACACGTGAGCCGGGTGTGAAGCCACTGTGGCCAATCAGATCAGTAATTACTAAACGAACTACCCGGGAGAACTGAAAACAAGGCCTGGATTTGGAATCGAGGTCCAGATTTGAAAAGCCCTGCTTATAAGAGTGGTCTTAGAGGATCGTGGAGTTTGTGGGATAGGGTTAGGGTCTTCCCAAATTCCCAGACTCTTTCCCTTTGGTACCATTTCCTAAAGCCTGATTTGTGATTGTGTGTATCAGAATAGGTTACTTGTGTATGCCACAGCGTAAGCTCTGCGTAGAGCCTACAATCAAGCATAAATCGGGCATAAGACTGGTAACGTTTCAAGCATGTCGGTGACGGGGAACATCTTTTTAATTCAGCTGTGTGGATTATGACTCGTCAGTCCAAGAATCTTGTCCGATGTATGTTTTTCTGCCTGAGTGCATCTTAACCCCTGCCTTGAGAAATTACAAGCCCGTCCATTTTCTTAATGGAAGTAATGCCTAAAAACAACACTAACTATTGACAGCTATTTGTGAATCGCAGAAGTGGGCTCATTTAATGTTCTGGAAGCTTCCAAAGCCATCTTGCATCTCCACTCTGCTCGGGGTGGGGGGGATTTAATGGCACTGAGGATGGCAGATAAGCATTCTCTCAGGGTTAGGCCTGGGGTCACATGACCTGAGTCACAATAGATTCTGGATACCTGTTTTCACTTCATATCCATTTTCCAGGAATTGGGGTTTAATTCCACACTTTGCTATTTCTGTGTAGTGTAAGTGCCCTCTAAATGTTGGTCTCCTTGGTTAAATAATGGTGTTGTGGTGCACTCTGCCATTTTATACCCTTTTTGGAAGAGCAGTTGACATATGCTTAATGTCTTACCAGCAGTCATTCATTTGACATGGGGACCAGGGACATTTAGAGCCATCTTGACAAGATTTAGACCTTCCCTTTCATCAGCTATTAAATAAAGCAAACAGATCCGTGTATTTGAAAATTACAGTAGATGGGAGCACTTTTTTTTTCTTCCATTTTCTGGTTTGTGAATATGCGCTATGTTGAGTGTCACTCACATCTCCAAACCCGAGGGGGAAGGTAATGACTCTGTTTTCTCTTTCCAGATACAAGTACTTCCTGCGGGACTTAACGGAGAACACGCTGCCGGACAGCCCCGAGTCCGCTGCGCTGTCAGGTGAGCGGCGTCGCAACAGGGCCCGCCGTTTTGGGTTAATTGTAGCGCAGCTTCCCAAACAATCGAATATCCAGCTCGGTTAAAAATGAAGGACAGCTGCACTGCTAATTGAATTAAAGCTCAGTGGGAATCGAAAAGGCAGGGAAGGGGGAGGGGGGGGCTGTCTGCGACGGTGAAGGACGATGTTCTTCCAGCCTTTGTTGTTGTTTATTTGCTATTAATGTGGGGTGGGGTGGGGGGGGGTGTTGAAAGTGTCGGAAAGTGGGGGACCAGCCTGTTGTCTTTATGGATTTTGAAATAATGAATTGGGACCTGACCAGGGGGATATCGCGCGTGAGATGTATTAATAAATAAAATTTCCAAATCAACAGAAGCCCGATAATGATTAATTTCTAATCCCAGTGTCAAATAAACAGCAAATCCTTCTTAAGCAGAAATGTACACAAAGAATTATTTATGTGTATTAATTAAAATCTCATCGGTTGTGCTCTGCTCCAGCTTACAAATTAAAACAGCCTGGCGATTCATTTTCCGAGGAAGGAAACCATCCAGATTCGCCGCTCCATCGCTCCCCTTCTCTCCATTACTGCATATTCCCTCCCTTATTTCTTACTTAACGCTGCCTTTAATTTAAATGGAATTATTTAAAAAGAGCTCTGAACGTAACACTGTGTCTGATTAGGCTGACTAGCCCCGAAAGTGGCCCCGCCGTGGCTTCCGTCCTGGGCTCCGTCTTCGGTGTCACCGTCACTCGCGCAAAGCGTCCCCAGCACCGCCGAAGCGCAGTTTTATTAAAAAACCTTAGCGTTAAAGTGCTCCGACGACTAATTCCTATTCAGCGTTTAAAAGATAAAGCCTTTGATTTTTTTTTCCCTGTGAATGAGAAAAGTTGTTAATGTGTTTGTACAGGCGGCGCTAAAATACATTTGAGAAAGGTAAGGGGGGAAATAATAATAATAATTACTAAGTTGTGAAATGGAAAAGTAATTTCTGGAAGACGTCCCCGATAATTGTTGTGTAGATAAGTGAACCAATTAGGTTGTGGTTGTTATTTCATCAAAGTTAGAGCACATTAAGCAACCTGTTCAGTCCCCATTTTCTCCTCAGCACAGATATGGATGAGATGAGAAGCCGGTGTCTGACCGCAGCTTTTACCGTGTAAATCGGTGCGGTAGTCGGTGCTGTCGAGTCCGGGTCGGGATTGGTTACCGAACACAGAAGCGCACCTGGATCGTGCCATACATATCTCGGTATTCATCCACACGTATTCATCGACAAAACGTTTCGCGAATGTCTTTGACTCAACATAGCATCATTTGAGCGCTTGCCATTACTTTAACAAAACACATGACAGATTGTGTTTATTAAGACCGAAAGAAAAGCCAGTGCGGTTTGCGGGCACAAATGGGCACGGACATCCTCAGGCTGGTACTGCCTATGTGCGAGAATGCACGTCTGCAGAGCTGCAGCGAGGCCTGCTGTTCCCCGCATGCGCGCTTATTAACATCGCCACTAGGTGGCGCCGGTTTTTGGAGTGGTATGCAGACGCATGGTGCCCCATAGCGATGCTGTAGTCTGCATATACAGATTAACCCAAGGGCGCATCCCGCCTTACTGTACACAACGCTACGGGGAGGATTAAAAAAAAAAAATTGGTATCCTGTTCTGTATTGTTCCAAACCACATGTTTCTTGTTAGTGGAAAGGAGAAAAACAGGATGATTTTTTATGTTGAAGAAATAATAATCATAATTATAGCAGCAGTTTATGTGAGAATTTTTGAGAAATGTATGGTTTAATGGTTTTGTAAAGTTACTGCTTGCTTACAGATTTAGTGCTAAATTCTAGATCAATTAGGCCTGCATGTACCTCGTAACAAACCAGTTCACTGTCAAATATGCAAGCTGTAGTGATATCAGACCTAGAAGCTATCACGGTAAGAGGATGATTTGGAAAAAAGGCAGCTGTTTAACATTAAAAATTGTTCAGCATCCTGCATTTCTAAGCAGGCTCATATTTGCAGAGTGTCTTAAAGCATTACGTCATCCCAACTGTCGATTGCACGAGAATGAAGGCGGCAACAGCTGTTGGCTTAAAATAAATGTTTTTTTTTCACAGTAACGGTGCACCTTAACGTTGTCTATTTTATTGTCTATTTATCCCCTTAACAAAGGGTGAATATTAAAATGTTTTAGTAAGCAATGAATCTTACCACCAATTCACGTGGCACCTCTTACAGACAGATCTGAATAGCAGTAATGATTTTATTTGTAATTAATATATGAATGACGGTCTGCAGGCCCATTATCTCTAAGATAATTCATTTTCAGCATGAAATGTATTTCGTGTTAATAAGTAAGTAAATATTACCTGTCATCAGGACAAATAAAACACATGAAACCCATTCTATGTTTACTCACCAGCCTGTCTATGAATAATCATTTTTGCAGGGAAAATAACTTAAATAAGTAGTTAATCGCGGCCTAGTCATGCCTGGTATTGCATTTACTAGCAGGATCAGATCACAGTTTACAGACTCCAGTGATTCAAAGGTAATAAATGAGTGGTCTTATGCTCTCTCTGCTGTGCCTTTAATGGCCGTGGATGCGGACAAACTTCTTAATTCTAAGGGTATTTAACCAACTGAGGATTGGCCTTTGTGTGTTTTTTCCCTGAGTGGCGAAGAGGGACCTTCTACTCGGAGATAGTAAAAATTAATGGCTAGCCAGTTTTCCATTTTCAGCAATTTTAGTTTTAGCTGATAACTGGCAATCCGGGGCATTTTAGACTTTTGTTTAAATGTGCGCACATGATGTCCCTGCTTCGGGTTAGCTTTTCCGGAGATATGATTTGTGTTCCCACGTGTCACCATTCTTTTTAGCTGAAGATTTCGGTCCCGTGAGGTCAGTGTTCGCTTTCAACCAGCGAAAAATTTAAATTTTCTTCAAAAAAGTGTACTACTTCGGCAGAGATGTAAGTAATGAAGTACAAATGCTTCATTACTGTACTTATTTGTATTTTATTTTAGTATTTTAAGTTGTTGCAACTTCTACTGTCATTTTGCTACATTTCTGAGCCAAATAATGACTTTTTACTCCCAATACATTCTGCATGACCATCATTACTTACTCACCCATCCATCCATGCATCCATCCATCCATCCAATAATGCTACTACACACAACACACCTGAGTCAGGCTGCACACTAATCACAAAACATCCGGTGAAAAGAAAATAATGCAGTTGTCATTACAACAAAGAAAATGAACAGTCTCAGTATCCAGAATGAAAGGTCCGTTTTCAAGTTTAGCAGTCATATGATGAACCCAGTTATTGACTTGATGATGCACTTGTCAAACAAATGATGCTGAGTTTTATTTTTTTAACAACACACAACCTCCCGACCTGAAAAAAAAGTTTCGCTACTTGCATGAATTGTTGAACCCCAAACCCAGGTTATTTAACATGCAGTGGATATTTTCATTCTAAATGCCAATGTGAAGAATTTCTTGTAATTCTGAGTAGTCCAAAGGTTAGTAGGAAAGATGAATTCCATGCATTCTACACACCTTTCAAATGTGGATATAATCGTCAAAGGAAAAGGGCTACAATATCATCAGCAGCCATGACTGCGTGAGTGTTAATGCACATTATCTCCCGGTTTATAGATGCCTTTGTTTTCACCTTAAATTGATCTCAGCTCTGTAAAAAAAAAAAAAAAACTCTCTCTTCTGGTGCTGTATTATGGAATCTTTCCGTATTGAAAAATTCGTAAACTAGCCATCGTTTATTGAGGTGTAAGGCCATGTAGTGTTTGTGGGTTTGTGAGTGCATGTGTGCACACCGACTTTGTCTGTGGTGAGCTGGCTTGGGGTTTCCACTCTCAGCATAAACAGGCGACGTATGAAAGCTGCGCTCTTTTTCCAGCACTGTCCTTGGGTGTAGCTGTCGCCCCGCCGCCCCGCCTGCTCACACGCCCATCCCACTGACACCCCCAGCATCTCATTGGCTTGTCTCTGATCAGTGTAGGTCTCGCATGGTGTTCGTTCAGCGGAATGCAGCAGTAAAATGAATGTGCCTTTTTGTTTGCAGATCAATAGACAGATAAATGCGTTCCGGTGGCCAAAGTCAGTAATGCAGAATGCCCCCCCCCCCAAAAAAAAAAAAGGTCCTTAATGCATCAGACCAAAAACCAGCCACACAAAGCCGCTAAATGCCTCAAAGTAGGTAAAGGGCTGCTAATTGACTAGCGTGAGAATGGGCTCCCTGCTCTGGTGCATCCATCTGGAGCTAATGCATTAATTGCGTGTGTGCCAGGGGCGGTGAAGGCGGTCTCGGAGGTGGCCCAGCGCATCCAGGACAACGCCCGCAGCCACGAGAACCAGCTGCAGCTGCGGCGCATTCAGAAGCTGCTGACGGGCTGCAAGAGCAAGGTGCTGGTGCCAGGTTGGTGCTTGTGATGAGCTATTCCTTTCATCCCCTCCAAGAGACCAGCCCTTCTGTGCCGTTCGCAGAGGAGACGGGGGATGGGGCCGGCGTCAGAGGGTGGGGGCTCTTTGTTTGAATATTTAAAAAAAAAAAAAAAAAAGTGGGGTTTCCGTAATTGTTAAGCGGCATTAATATGGTGGGGGGCATTTTAATGTTTTATTTTAAAAAATAGAAAAGCTTGATAGAATGAAATTAACAAGGTGGGGCTGGTAATTGATGAGGTGGAGGGAGAAAGGTGCACCCCCCCCCCCCCATGCATACACACACGTACACATACACACCTTGGCCCAAGTTGCATCCTTCTCCAACTTGTGGAGTGTATGGCCCTTTCTTCCTACCCGGATGCCTTTGAGTGTCCCCGGAGAGATGCCCACATGTGCACAACAGAGAGAGGCTTCGCCGTGGAGGATCGGGCCTGCCACTCTCCCCCAGGACCAATTAGCAACGCTGCACATCTTGTGGGCAGGCAGATAAAAAGGTAGCGGGAGGGGAGGCAGGGGCTGATGAATACCCAGTGAGCTGGGGGCGGATTCCCTCAGATGTGGATGTGAGATGTTGATAAGCCTCTCATCCAGATTCTCAGTCCACTTCCATCTCCACTCGTCCAATAATGGGCCGGCCCTTGGAAGGCCTCCTTCCCGCCTCGCGGCCTCTTAATGCGGGTAAAAGAAAGTAACTCTTCACAAATAAGTAACTTTAAAGCCGACTGCCGGGGCCTTCGGCCGGGAATCTATGTCTTGTTGATATGCCTGATGGTGCCCATGCAGCTAATGTGGGCCAGAACCGCAGTGGGATGCCAGTACCTGGGCTGTACGGAGGCAGATGAACTGACCTTTTTTATGGGAACACTCTGGTGGAACCCGAACACTTAGCCAAACGTTTGGTTTCATAATGAAATTTAACAAAGGAAAATAATGTTCCGAGGTCTCATCAGCGTCGGCACATAGATGGCAGTATAGAGCAACAAAGCAACTGGGATGCTGGCTTCTGTCCTGCAGAGGAAGTGACCGTTTAGGTCATTTGTCTGCAAAGTCATAGAGCCAGTGCAGAGGGGCGTATGTAACGCTTGGTCTGAATGACGTACCTTTGAAATCCAGCTTTATTATCTCCTCATGGGCGAAGAGTCTCACCGCTGCGCTCCCTCCTCCGTAGCTTTGCTCGGATACTGGGGGGGGGGGGGGGACCCGGTTCTTTGGTAGCGCCATCTTAACGCCGGTGTGACTGCCCCTCCACCCCTCCCCCATCCACCCCAAAGAGCCGACAGTCTTTGATGAGGAGCCCGTTTTGAAGGGGGAAGTTGAAAGAACACAGCGCAGAAAGGGGGCCCTTGGATGTCCCGCTCTTTGAACCGGCGCTGTTCAAAGCACCGTGCATGGATCAGGCAGGACCACAATGGAAGACCAAAAGCTCGCCAGTAACAAGGCTCTACGTTATACTGGAGAGTGCTGTAAATACCAAACAGCCTGCTGTGTGTGTCTGTTTATTTTTTGGTCTATTGCCGCCCCCTCCCCACCCATTTTAAATAATGGTCTGTTCCTCACACATGGCCTTTGTATATTGACATCCTTATTAATATTGGTTTGGAAATAAACTATTTACATCTGATGGGAGTGGGGCTGCATTTTCACTCAGTCAACAAAAGTATTGAATTCAACATTGAATTGGTTCCTGAATTTGCTGAAATTTGTGCAGTTTATTGAATAGCACTTCCGTTCCTAAGGCGCAGTATCGATCCAGACCAACCTTACAAATCCACCAGTGGCTGAGCTTTAGATCACATGACCCACCAAACCTTCTGGAAGATTAGTCGTCACTTTGTCAGTTTATGATGTGTGAAGACCTTGCAGGGCTTTGAGTTGGCAGCTGCTTGGTTTCCCATCCCTAACAGTCACCTGCATGTTGGTCATTAAGTGAGCACGCCCCCTCCCTCTCTATTCCAGGCAGGTGGTACATCCGTGAAGGCTGGCTGCGGGCCGTGCCCCCCAAGGGTACTGAGGTCAAGCCCAAGATGTTCTTCCTGTTCTCTGATGTGCTCCTGCTCACCACGCCCTGCTCGCCGCTGCACCCCACCAACGGAGACAAGTTTTGCTGCCAGCGTGTTTACGCCCTGCAGGACTGCACGGTGGGCAAGGTGTTCGGCCACACCAAGAGCCAGGGCGGCCTCATCAGTGTACGTACTTCCGCCGCTGCGGTGTCTCCCAAGCCGCAGTTGCTCGGCTCCCGGAAGCATGATTGTGAACCATCTGTGGGTCCCCAGGGACTGGATTGGGAAACAATCTTACTGGGTTTAATTTACCTCAGTTTAAATGGCCTTTATCCTTCGTTCACTTACATTTACCCCAGACTACCTACAAATTATCCGGCTAACCAAGAAATCCTCAGTTCTGGCCTCAGTTCTGGCCTGGTTAACTGTTAGCCATTGTTAGCAATATCAGTTGATAACAACACTGGTTTACACATAAAAACACCATAGCGACGCATCCACAGATAGCGGTTGGACAGTACTGTGTGTACGACCGATTTAATGAGCCACAAAAGATGTAATCCTAATAAACGGTATAAAACTACAGCTTTCACTTCTTTTGATAAAGGGTGCAGCCGTCTTGAATTCTGAGGTCGGTGTTGGGTAGATTCCGCCAACTCTCCAAGTAAGAATTCCACTTCAGGGGGCGTTCCAGTTTACATTTCCAACTAGGAACTTGGAATTTCAAATGGAACGCAGTGTTACCTCTGTAAGTTTGCCCAGCCTGTAAGCATGCCTCTGTCTGGTGAGTATAGTGGACACACTCTCTGTGTTCATGGGACAAACAGAATTTCCCAGCCACAGAGCCACTAGCCTAGAAAGTGGAATTCTCTTTAGTCAGTTTAGTAAGACTGCCGTGTGCTGTGCTCACACAACCGTTAAGGGTGCCGCCGTGAGGCCAGTGTGGGCCTACCGGCCCATAATGCCACAGGTGTCGAGCCACAGACGAACACGCCACGGAAGCTGAGCCCCGATAATCACAAAGTTCACTTGTGTCCTAGTTTATGCATTAAAGGGAACAGAGGAAGATGAAAGGCTTCTGTATTTTCTTATGTTAATTTAGCATCAGTCTTCTCATTCTCGTACTGCAATCGCAAATCAAACATATTCAAATGTGGAACAACTCCCCCCTGACTGCTCTCCCGCTAACGCTATAACACGCACACACACACGCACTCCGAGGTACACGCATGTGCACTTTACCAGTTTGGATAATTAGCTCTGCTTGAATGTGCTTGACTTATTGGTTCTACTTGTGAGCATGTCTTTAACCTCTTCCACTCTTCCTTCCTACCCCTGTGGTAAAAACAGCACAGTCCCGCTGACAGCGCAGATTGTGGCCTGGTGATATGTAGGTGATATGTAGGTTGATTAATATTTAATACCATAGTCTCAGACTGGTCTAATTCTGCCGGACAGCTAAGAGAGACGTTATCCTGGCTTAGTCGCACGGCTGGCTGGGTGTTTCCGGTCGTCTTCTGTAACCGTGGCCCTGGTGGTCATGGACAGGGCCTGAGCGGAATGTAGATTCCTTCTCGGTGATGTGTTCGTGGTCTTCACTGATGAATGCGATGCCTTTTCCAGACTTTCCATAGAAGAGCCGTTGCAAGACTCAGTGAGTTTTTGTATTTGAAGACTCCCCAGTGTCTCTCCATGGGTTTCTCTGTGGCAGCAGGTGAAGGTGGTGTTTTGAGGTCTTTTCCAAAGGACTGACATCCACTGGTCTCTCCAGCGGGTGCACAGAATAATAATAGCCAGTTCAACAGTGGACTGATATTTTGTTTGCCAGTAACTTTGTGGTTTTACGCACATTTTTGCTTTTGTAAGGTCTTGCTTGGGGGCAGTACACTATGCTCGGAAAGTTTCCCCATAAAATATGGCTGATGACGGAGATTGCCATCCTGTTGTATGACCCATGGTTAGCAGAGAATGCCGGTAATTATTACCAACCTGCTCCAATCTCAGGTCATGCTGCTCCGTCGACCGTGAGCCTCTTCAGAGACTGTAATGCCTAAGCTTTGTCCGTTATACTCCTGCATTCTGCAGCAGAAGGGAATTAGTGATAATCTGTGTTTATTTGGACCTGTTACTCACCACAGCTCATTGCCGCATTGGAGCAACTTTGATCTAAAGCGCCATAAAAACACGGGTTCCTCCCGACAAGGCGGCTGCGTTTGTGTCCGCAGACGTCGCCGGAATCAGCGGCCCGGCATGCCAGCAATGGCAGAGCAGGTTGTACAACTGAGAAGAGAGAGCTGATAAGCTAAGCCAGATTGTTTCTCACACTGTTATACTCAGCACTTCCCCTAGGGGGCCTCCGTTCTGAAGGGATTCCAGCTCTCATTAAGTGCTGAAATGCTGAGTACCTGGAGCACGCAGCCACCTACGTGTTGGGGGTAAAGATTAGTCCGGTACACTAATTAAAGGAACAGAAATGGTGTTCAGCAGTCCAGGACCTGATCAGTGGTGAGTGTAGCCCTTGCTTCTGACGACTGCTGTTCTGGTTTTTGAGAGGGTCTCCCCTAAGAGGACAGGTGACCTTTGGTCTGTGTGAATGCTCTATTCTCCCGGCTTGCTCAATTTGGCACATTTAGTGTGAATGCAGGAGAAAATGGCTACCCCTTTTCAGGACTTCATATCCCAGAAGGCCACACTGTGTCACATGACTGACAGAGGGTAATATTAGTCAAACACATTGCCATATCACAACACAGTATAATGGCCTCATTGCCCTGCGGTCAAGAACCATAGAAATCGTAAGCCACTCTGGGCAAATGGGCCCCAGTGATCCCCACACACCACTTGTTTTCCACTCTTGAAACGGGCGCCTTTGATGCGATCTGCGGCCTTTAAAGCCCACCGCCTCCTCATGCCGTGTTTCCCAGACTGCACTTGCGAGGATCTTGATCGCTGCCCGGCCCATTCTGTGAGGGGGGGGGGGGGTAAAAGCTCCTGGAAGGCTTATCAGATTACACCCGAGATCCATTTCTTCCTTCCATCCCGCAAAGACATCTTCCTCAGCTCTGTCAAGCCTTTTCATTGCGGTAGTTAACGTTATCTAATGGCAGGAATGGCATTTCATTACCTCGTTATCCTATAAGGCCAAATGCATACTCAATAACATTAAGGGTAATTTCTCATAAAGACATATTATTGATCCGCGGCCCTACCTGTAAGCAGAGAAAATTGCTGTCAGCGCTCTCCAGCCTTTCACTGCCGGGCCTGAAGAATTAAAGAAAAATTAAATTTGACAGCAGTAAATGCACAGCCACAATCTAGACGCCAATTTATATGCAAAACGAAAAAGCTTTATGAAAATTTCCTCCATTTTCTCACGCATATTTGGTGGTGAAAGCGCTTTCTTCCCTCCCTGGCTCGCTCTCTCGCTGCCTCCTCTCCGTGAAGCTTCTCCCTAATATCCCCGCTATTTAAATATTATACAGCGTCCACAGCAGACTCCTTTTGATGTATAAATAATCAGGCCAAATTATGTGCGGTAAGGAGGCTCGGCTTCTGCCATTCCTATTTTACAAAGTAATTTCTACCCCAGAGGGTCAAAATTCCTGACAAATTCTTAATTACGGCACAGCAACAGAACGGGAATCTATTTGTGCATAAATCACCAGTGTTCCCACGTGGCGAGTAACTAATATTTCCAGCCATTTCGCTTGGCCCGCTCAGTGAACTTCGTAATTAGATAATACTTTTGATGATGGTACATTTGAAATCTTAATCCATTTAATTTTTTATGAGCGCCCCCCCCCATCTCCACCACCACCCCCTTTATTTTAATAGGGATATGTTAGTGACCGCTGCCTATTTAACTATCATTAAAATTCTGTCCACAGCTGTAATAAAGATTAAAGATGGCTAATATGCCATCCCTAACCTTGCAGGTTTCCCCATATAGCGAGAGCACCAGGTAAATGTGAGAGGTCATTTAATATGTTAGGCACTAATTATGATCCCCTCTAATAGGGTCCTGTTGTAATTATTCTGGTATAAAGCCCCTATTGTGTAATTCCGGAGTGCCTGTTTTCGTATTTGACACGTATGATGTCAGTCTAAAGACCCTCTGGTGAGGGAAGAAGCACATGCTTCCTGTTGACTAATGGGATGGTCCCGTTCCTTAAGCTCCCCGGTCTAATATATTTTATAGGCATCTAAAGTGCAGTCTGCTTAAAAGTGAAATCCGGCAGTGAATTTTACTACGAGAGTATATTTAATCACGATTTTGAGCATACTTTGTGGGCATGACACGTCCACACGGTCAGGACGAAATGAGACCGCGGCCGTGTCCAGCCTGTTCCCCAGGGATCTGCCCTTTGCCGGGCAGAATCGGAGTGTCCGGACAGCCCTGGAAGGGGCGCTCTGACGTATGGAAATGCTGGAGCGCTGTTATCCGCGCCAAGATGCCCGTGACGTTCGTGCCGCCTCGATAGCAGCTGTGCTCGCAGGCATACGCTAATGCGCGGTGGAGTTTTCGCGGGCGCAGCAGTAGTACGTTGTCATCAGGCACAAACGTTTGGCTGTCAGACTCTCCCGCAGCCCGGTCCACAGGAGTACGGAAGCGGCAGCACCTCCATCTGGCCTCCGCACGCACCCACGCCGGCCCTCTGTCATGCCTTTAATAGTGATATGTGTGCAACAGCAAGGAAACATCTTCAGCTCATTTTTCAGATGATGTCCACCTTCGGTTGGCGCTATTATTGGTAGAGGGAGCCGGATGCTTTACAAAGGGGGTGAGAACGTGGCAGACGCGGTTAAGCTAGACGTAGACCTCCTGGCCCGTTAATGAAGGGGGCACGGGGTTTCTAACTACATATCTCACCGAACTTGGAAGTATCTCCCATGTCAGCAGCTGTGGTCTAACTCCACTTCTCGCTGTTCTTTCAGCTGACCTTCACTGAAGAAAAGCTCTTGCTGATGTCCAGCGACCAGGAGGACATCAACGACTGGTACCGGAGCCTGTCCTCAGCCGTGGGGTACGCGCTCGCCCCGCCCCGCCCAGGCCTGGGCTGCCCTTGGCCGGCGACCTTGCAGACGCCGTGCCAGAAGAAGGCGTCCGCAGCAGCATTGATCAGTCCCCCAGCATATGACAGTCTCTGCCTTAATTGAATCCCAAAAGGGGGGCCCAGGCTTGGCTATTATTACCGGGGCCAGCCGATAGCTGCTCATTAAACGGGCTTCACAGCCCACGCTGGCCCAGCTAATTAGTTTATTATACAGGCACCTTGACGAGGGGAGAAGTTGTCATCCTGCCCTTTATTGCACCAGGGACGTTGTTAAAAGTTTAATCAGGCAGCGCTGACCGGGGCGGTCCGGCCCGCGGGGCGGTCGTTACCGGGGTCTCTCCTGCCGCTGGGGCGCTGACAGGGTCACGGCCCGGCCGCCGCCAAGGAGACGCTGAGGGACGGGGGCTGGCGCGCTCACCTGAAGGAAGAGGGGGGGACCAGATGGCAGGAGAAAGAGGCTGTTAATCACCTCCCCACCACACCTACGCTCTAACGACGTGTGCATTGGATGGGGGCGGGGCTCCCTGTCACCACTTTGATAGATACTGGTGACAGCCTGTCCATCCCTCCTGCTGCCTGACGGCGCTGACAAGGCGCTAACGACCAGAATGCACTGGGTTTCCTGTAGGGGGCGGGGCCTGTACCTGTGCCTGGGTCCAGCGCAGTACTGGGTTGTTTTAAACAGTGGGCCTTGACACACCTTTGATGTGACAGTCCATTGCTTTAATTGGACAATGTGCAGGGGAGACTTACGCCTGTGAGGAACATCCTGTTTTGATAGTGAGATACTCATCTATCCATCCCTCCATCCATCCTCTCCCTGCTACAGTGAAATGTGAAGCTGAGTAAACATGCAGCTGTTGGCGGGAATGGATTAAAGTAGCTAATTAGCATGGTGAAGATGACGATAAACCATGTAGATACCGGGATAAACCATGTGACTCATCAGTCTTCTGCTGCAGCCTGGTGTTCAGACCCGACAGTGTCACTGCTGTGCTGCTGCTGTTCTCCTAAGTGGCCTGGTGGCCACGAGATCTGGGCGAGGCTGTCGCAAACTTCACCGTCTGACGTGGGGGGGGGAGGGGTGCCGTGAGGTGGTACTTTACTCCTGTGTTTCATCCTTAATGTGTTTCCATGTGGCACAGGGGGACAGATATTGGGCTGGGTGTTCATTCCTCCACCGCCCAGCACCTGACCCTTTATCGCCCCCTGGTGGCCATAATTAAAGGTGTTTGTTGTGGGACTCCTTCAGATTTGCCTTTCAAGGGGCCTGAGGTTTCTTTTATTATTTATTTATTTATTTATTTATTTATTTATTGGTAATTATCTCCTGATGGTTATCTGCCTGTTCTGCTCTCTGCTGACCTGCCAATCGTTTGAGGAATCCGCTAATGAAACAGCCCTTTGAAGGCAGACTATGTTTGTCCTTCTGTGGGCGTGTTTTAGGCCTTAATGGATTACCAAGCAACAAGCCAGACTTCATTTAAAAGCTTGTGTGCTTTTTTAAACTTGTAATTATGTAAAATCGTAGGATGGCACAATGGCTCAGCGGGTCGTGACCCTGTCCTGGATTGGCGTTTGGAAATCGGGGCAGATGGATGGATTTAAATCTGCACAGACGGATGACTTTATTGGCTTTCACATGACGCTGAGTGGTATTGCTCAAAAAGGATGCGTTATCAGTGAATGCATTTCTTTAAGTGACACAAGAGTTCTTCATGGTCTCAAGAGACAGTGGTTTTGCTGGTCCCGCTATCAGTCTTTCAGAATCTATACCGCCTGCTGCCCCTGGTGATTGACGATAATATTACCATTTCCTTCTCTGCTAGTGATTAATATCAGTGGGGTGATTCAAGGAATTGGTACAGCCTCGCACCGTCCTGTAATATGGCCAAACAAGCTCTCTCCTGGGGTGTAAAATGACACTTCTGTGTCCTGCATAACTTTTGCTCCGAGTTTCCTGCGGAAAGCTGAGTAGGTGCAGAGAAACCACAGCGGGGAGATCTTCCTCCACCATTCATTCAGGGGCTGAGGGTCTGTGGACCTGGTTCCTCACTGCCTGTCTTCTCCCAATCCACCCTTTTCCACGCCGAGCAGTCAGCTGGCGTCCAGAACCACGGTGGTGCACAAGAGGGACAACCTATGCAGGAGACCCCTGCGTTCGGCCCAGGCGCAGAGCGAGCCCAGCACCCCCTCCGTGGGACCCAGCCAGCCGCAGCCCGTGAGGAAGAGGAACATGGTGAGGGCCCTCTTCATCGCCCCGTCCTCTAAGTGCAGGATCAGCAATACGTACGCAGTCCGCGGACTGTCTGAAGTTAGCCGCACTCCCGATTTCTGTCCCGGGGACCCGAGCCCCTCCCGCCATTTACAGCCTGCCGCTCTGCATGTCTTACATTCTGGAGCAGCAGCTGCAGAACCACTGAAGCTGGAGCTCAAAGCAGCATCCCGCTCTGTCTGCTCTTACCATCTCGTGTTCATTCCCTGCCCACGCTGACCCTATAGGTCGCAGCAGAGACGACAGGCCAGTGCGAGGGCCCCCCCCACAGTCCCCGCCTTCCTCCGGGTGGGGGTGGGGCCAGCGCCATGAAGAAGATGAGACTGACGGATGCTCCGGCGGAAAGGTATGGCGGCAACACGCGTCGGGGTCACCATCAGAGCAGCCGGCCAGCTGGCTGCGGAGGAAATGAAACATTTATCAGGCTGCACCCCAGCCCGGCCCACCGAGCTAATTAGCGGGCCCTCCTCTCCACTCTGGCCCTAGATTGTTTGTTTATTTATTTAAAACCTCCAGCCTGAGAGCCAATTAGAGCAGCAGGCGGACAAAAGAGCGGCTGAAGGAGCCGGGAAAATAAATAATGAAGGCGGTGGCGTGGCGGGGAGGCGGTGGCGTGGCTGGGTGGCACTGGCGGTGGCTGGGTGGCACTGGCCGTGGCGGTGGCGTGGCTGGGAGGCGGTGGTGTGGCGGTGGCGTCTGCGAGGGTCTCCCCCCGCTGGAGAGTCACCGTGGGGCCCTGGGCCTCCAGGGGTTCTCCCCTAATGATCTCCATTTTATAACATTCTCTTTGATTTACACCTCCGGTAACTAATGTCTCAGCCAGAGATAAATGCAACTCTTGGTTGGATTGGTATGTGGGATAGAAGTCTGGGAATCGTCACATGGGTGGCCCTGGGGGTTACAAACGTACAGAGCGTAACCCCCGCCCCCCCCCGGTCCTGGTTTCTATACATGTGAGGCCATTGCCAGTGTTTGGTCAGAGTGTGTATGGTATGTAGCATGCTGTAGTGTGTGTGGTATGTAGCATACTGTAGTGTGTGTGGTATGTAGCATGCTGTAGTGTGTGTGGTATGTAGCATACTGTAGTGTGTGTGGTATGTAGCATGCTGTAGTGTGTGTGGTATGT